CTGAGAAGAATCATGACATTGGCTGCTTTTCATAAGGATGCAAACACAGCAAGATGCTATTACAGTTGTTTTGAATTGGATATACATTTGCATCTGGAGAAATGATTTAGAACAAGCAATGAAAATGCCCTCCCCTTTCATGGTTTATGTTAGGATATTGATTATAATTTGCTTTAAAACATAGTTTAAAGAATCAACTCTGAAAAGAGGAAGAAAGAGAAAGATATAGAGACAAAGTCAGTTTACATGAGATTTCCTAAGTTACAATTATAAATGTGCTAAATAAATTTTGAATACTTAACCACATGAAACTAAAATTAATGCAAAAACTGAAGATAATTAAGAAACCTCTTCTAATTCTTTGTCCTGGAGAATTATAGCTTCTTCTCAGATCTGTTTGTTAAATTTTTCTTCTTTTTAGAATATACTTCACTTTCCAAAACACCCTTAAAAATGCTTGTCTTAATTTATTGTTGCCCAGGATCAGGATAAATGAATGGCCTGAGGGATAGATTAGAGCAATCAACTCACCAAAAATGACAGCTAATTCAGTCTCTGGCATAAAATAGCTGGAGGTGGCTATAAGAAAGGCCAAATAGTAGATGATGAAGAGGAGGAGGAAGGAGATGACTGCTTTCATGGCTCCCACGTGGGCTTCTGAGCTGGGATCTCTGTGCCCTGAGGCATTGAGCTGCATCTGCCTGGTGTGTCTCCACAGGGAGAGGATCAAGAGGAGAAATGAGATCAAGGACACAAAAAAGGGAAATAGTGTTACCAGGTTGAGATATATCTTGGTAGAGGCATATGTGGTTTTCTTTATTCTGCATTTCAAAGTTAAGTTTCTTCTCCACTTTGCCTTCACACAGTGTCTGAAATCATCATTCAAATTCTTAGTGACTGGAAGACTAATAAACACAGAGAAGGCTAAGCACCCCAGTAGAGTCTTGAGAACCACCCTGTCAATTCTCCACTTCATCCAGAGGAAAAGGGGGTGGAAAAAGTTTGCTATCTTGAAGAAATAGAAAATGCTGAGGCAGGTGGCAAACCAGACACTTAAGTGGTTGGTTAGGGTCCAGAAGAAGTCAATGATTCTCATTTGTTTACCAGTGGCATAGACATCTGGATACAGCACCAATATAGAACAGTCTAATAATATTATATACAATAGACAAATTCTGGATATAGCCAGACTTGTGAGGATTAAATCAATGGAGGCAATCTTCCTATTCTTGACCCAGTTCATGAAGTTTATCAAGGCGATGAAAGCATTCCCCAAGATCCCCACTGAAAACTCTCCAACTGCTATGAGCAACAAAATTCTCTCCTTCATATACAGCATGCTTAGATAGAGAAATACCCAGTTACTTTCTAGTGGACCTGAAGCAGTTTGGTATCTACACCTGGTTCTTGGATTTTGCTGTAATCGTTACCTCTTTTATTGTGGTCTTGCCTTGAAGACTGGAACAAGAAATGAAGACTGTAGCTATCTTCATTAAATCCTAATTAGTGCTGATGAACGCTGTGTGTGGCCATCTTTAGCCTAGATGCTGTATGTCCATTTACCTTCTCAGAAGCTATTGTTTTCTACATATAGTTAATTTAGGCTGAGCTAGTGTTTGCTAAGATGCAAATTGAGCCAATACCCTTTCATAGTCCTGCACTGTCTTTCTGAGGCTAAGTTATATGAATTTTGGTTTCACTAATCCTTGATGCATACTAGTGCTCTCAAGAGGGTTGCCAGATTTAGCAAATAAAAATAGAGGATTCCCATGGAGATTTGAGTTTTAGGTAATAAATGATGAGAAATTTTTTGGTGTATATGCCAAGTTGCATAAGATCAGAACTTTCAGGAAGTCCTGAAGTTAAATAAAATTTGTGCATATTATATTTTATCTGGCAAACCTAAACCTCGAGACTTTGAAAATTAGAAAATTGTCAAAAACTTAGATTTGTGGAAGTATCTCTGCCTTGTTGAATGAGCATGCTGATTATTAATAAAGAATCCCAAATTTGGGCACACAATGAGAATTATACATTTTCAGAAAATATAAAAGATGAACACTAAATATAGATTATTTGGACCTTCCAAATTTTAAGTTTATTTTCTTGGTTGTTCAGGTGAACAATTATATGGTACAGTGTCTTAAAATAATAATGTGTCATCTTAATTGGTTAAGTGGCATTTATTGGTCAGAATTTATGATGCTAGATATAATAAGGTAAAGGAGTCATGATAAACATGACTATTGATTGTATTTAGTTTTCCTTTTCATTTAAAATGATTTCAAGGTAACGTTAGCAGGTGTTGGATATGTCCATTACCTTAATTGTGGTGGTGGTGTTATGGTATTAGCATATGTCCAAATTCATCACATTGTATACACTAAAGATATGCAGTTTTTCAGTTGTACCTCAATAAAACTCTTAAAAAAATAAAGTGTGTTCAAAGGCCCTTGAGAAAGATGAGCATAAAATTCTGCATTTTATTTTCCTCTCTACTCTCTCCATATCAAATTGCTTCTAAGTTTCCAGACCTTTTTCCTTTCTAGCACAAGAATGAATATTAAATAAACCACTTCTCTATAGACTAACTCCTGTTTTAAAATAGTTTCTTTAATTTAGATTTACTGAAAAATTATAAATCTTCTGTGGAATAATTTTTGGGTATTTACACCTTCCTGGAGTTGTATGACTTCTCTCTTCTTTCCTTAAAGGAGAAAACTTCATTCCTTAAATGCCACCTTGATTTGGGGGTAAATTGCAGATAATGTAGCCATGTTCATAGGTGAATGCTTTCTTTTATCTTGTGCCTGTCCCAGGCACATAATTTCTACTCCATAGTTATCCCGGTAAATAAGTGCTTTATTTAGTCAAATAATTTTTTAAATTACTCAAATAATTTTTTTCTTTTTCCTTAATTTTATTGACGTAACTATACATAACAGTGTCAACCAAATAATTTTCAGAAAATTTCAATATTTTATTTTGTTTTTGCACATAAGTGTAGATTTTGTGCATGCCAGTTTCATACAGCATGAAAGTTAGGTTATGGTACAGTTAAGAGGAAAAAGAGAAAAAAAAATTCCACAGGTTAGCATTTTGTCACATGCTTTCAAACCCCAATCATTGAGTCATTGGAGAAACTTGAAAACAGAGAGACAGAAAACAAAACACGGAAGAAGAAACTTCAGACTAATGAGATAAAACTTTCCCAGAAGCACCAATCTTATAAAACATTTATTTTATCTAAACCTACAGAAAAATATAATGTTCAAACCAGCATAGACTTCAAAGGTTTGTTCTAGAATATATTAATATATTGCAACAAAAAACATGAATCTTCTTTTTTATTAATATATATTTTTATTTGTTCTAATTAGTCATACATGACAGTATAATGCATTTTGACACATCATACATATATGGACTATAACTTCTCATTTGTCTGGTTGCAAATGAATTACACAGGTTGTGTAATCATATATGTATATAAGATAATAAAGTCTAATTCATTCTACTATCACAATTACCCCTGATATTTTTATTTATTTATTTTTATGTAGTGCTAAGGATCGAACCCAGGGCCTCATGCGTATGAGGCAAGTGCTCTACCACTAAGCCACAACCCCAAACCCTACTCCCGATAAATCTTCTTGTCTTGTACAATAAAAAGCAATATAAGTGACTAACATATTACAAATACAATCAATAAAATGTATATACCATTAACGGCTATAATTAAGAGTATTTTACAAAGTGAATTTTACACAATGGTAAGCAAAGTGATTAAAGTTTAGCTAATTCGTATTTTTAGCTATAATACAAGGAAATGGAGTAGACCAGGATTAGACAGAAAATGGTGGGAGTAAGCACAAAAATGCACAGCCAGATCAGAACAGATCTGACTTCTCAAACATCCTAATGAGGAAGGATTTCATCCTCACAGCAAAACCACGGTTTATTAGTAATCTCATTTTCCTACTTTTTTTTTTTTTGTAACTTGCCCTATATGTGTCATGGACAGATATTGGAGAGAGAGAGAGAGAGAGAGAGAGAGAGAGAGAGAGAGAGAGAGAGAATGTATATGTATATTCCATGCTATATGTTAAATTTTTTACATTTTTTTCCTTAAGTCAAGAGTGAAACTCCTCGCTCATCTTTTTTTTTTTTTAAAGGAACTTGAACAGAATAACATGACTGATACTAGTTATGCTCATTCTTTTATCCAGATTGTAAAGAGTACTTAGGAAACGGCTTTTGCATAGATTCTCTTCCTAAACAGGTGTTGTCTGAGAAGCAGATTCTTTGTGAAGAAACTTGATTTTAAGGGCAATGAATAGCAAGTGCTAGAATAAAGTCAACCAGAAATTACTGACACAGAGATGACCTAAAGCATCACTCAGGAAACTAAACCATAGACCAGGCAGGGGAGTTTTGAATTACTAGTTAATCAGTCAAATGGAAGTGGTGCAGCAGAGATGTGAATGGAGCACAATTAAGGGCCAGACTGAAAATGTATGACAGAAGAAAGGGGAAACTGAAAAGTGTAGCCCAGATGCAGTTTATCATAGGCCAAAGTAAAATCTTAGAGAAGTTAACAAGGCAACACAGACCTAACATTTGTCTTCAGAGGATAAGAAGAGATGCATGAGCCCTGACATTCTTAGAGGAAAGGGAATGCAAAGATGAGAAAGTCTGAACTATACACAGCAAAGGATTTATTCATTAGGTCCTGGAGTGCCTAAAGATATGCATCCAAAATAAATGGCATAACTGGAAAAACAATAAGAATAGGCCCACTTTTTGTTTGTTTCTTTGTTGATTTTTGACACAGGGTCTCACTTGGTTGCCCAGGCTGTCTTCAAACTCCTGGGCTCAAATGATCCTCCTCAGCCTCCCAAGAAAAAAATTGTATTTATTTTAAATCAGAAAAGAAGGTTTGCTTTTTTTTATTGAGAAAATAAGATTTGCTTTTAAAGTCTATTTATAAATCCAATATTTCACATCATGCAGGCTATTTTTCTACATGTCAGCATCCTGACAGATGGCTGCCTCAGTTTATTATTTCCAAAAATTAAAATAACTGAGTGTCCTGATGGATAGAGAATTGCTACAGCCTCTCCAACCATTATAGCTAACATTTGTTCTGTTATAAGATAGCTAAAGGTCACTAAAAGAGAAAACACACAGTAAATAAAGAAGAAGAAGAAGAATGAAGTTATAATTATCATGGCTTTCACATGAGCCTGTGTGTTGGGGTCTCTACAACTTTTAGAATTCATTTTCATTCGGTTAATATGTCTTCTTAGGGATATTATTAAAAGAAAAAATGAGATCAGTGAAAAAATGAATGGTACCAGAGCAAACAGGTTAAATAAAGTTATTGGCTCAAAGTATTGAATTTTACTCATTTCAGTGATGTTTCCTGTATTTTTTATAAGGTAATGAAGCTTATAACCATAAGTCACTGTTGGGAATACTATAATGCCAACCGCAAAGGAGATGGTGAAGCATCCCAGCAGGACCCAGTGAACCATTCTATCAGTTTTCCACCTCAGCCAGAGAAAAAATGGGTGGGAGAAATTGGCTATCTTGAGGCAATAGAAGACATTCAGACAGGTTGTAAACCACATACTTAAGTAGTTAAAGAATGTCCAGAGGCTGTTAACAACTATGCATATTTTCTGATTTTCATACACATCTAGGTATAGTGTTACCAAAATACCATGTAGTACTATAATTGCAATCAAACACATTCTTGAGATAGCTAAACTGGCCAGGACATAGTCAATTGATGAGATCTTTCTCTTTTTAATCCAGTCAATCCAGTTGACTAGTCCAATGTATCCATTGCCTAACATTCCTATTATGAATTCTGCAGTGATCACAATTGTAAAGATATCTTTGGTACTGAACATGTTTGTAGAGAGAATATTCTAATCTCCAATATCACTGCAAATGGTTTAGTTTACAGATGATGAGTTAAAACATGATTAATACATTCTTTAAAGCATGACATAATGTTTTCATTTGTCGTTATTTTGACATTGATCCCCTTCCTGGAGCACCAAGATCTCACCTGAGATAGGATCATTTTTACATTCATAAAGACTAAACCAACAGTTTGATCTGAACAAATGTCTTGTCTTTTTTCTTTCTTTCTTTGTTTAGACTGGAAAGATTATAATTATTACCTTTAGTGAATGATAACTGAAGCATTCGGTTGAAAGTGCTCTCATGCAAATTCAGATAATTTATTTCATGAATTTGCAATAGGCTTCTTGAAGTAGGTTCTTTTAACTTGGATCTGTGAAGTTGAATTTTGAATTAGGAGTCATTAAAAAGCACAAAACCCATAAGTGTTAACTAAAAATAAAAATGTGTAAATGAAGCTTCATTTTAATCATCATAGTTAAAATTAGCCACAAGTCATGTCTACTCTGGAAACAGGATTTTGTTTTAGAAAATATTAGTACAATTAGATCATACAGAAATAATAGAGGATAATAAATTTTGTCTTCATTAGATGATCAATTAGGGAAGGTTATGATACAAGTCTCATTATAAATGACAAATTATTACTAGCCAGACAGGCACCTGGCAATAGTTACTAAGAATTTGTTCTGTGCAGTTGTTTATTAGAAGTAAAACTGCCTGACAAAGATTTGTTGTCTATAGTTTTATTTAATGTTAGAAGTGTTCACAAAGATGGTTCACAACTTAAAACATTCTCTTTTGGATATTAAGCATTGTCCTCTAAAATTAAGGAAATTTACATTTTATTCTAGTTCCAATACATTTCTTTTGATAAGACTTACCATCTCATAGCATTACAGTCATGTCTCTAGATAGGGCAATCACATAAAAATATATATTTTTAAAATGAAGTAGTATTTCCAGGGAGTAGGACTAAACCTACCATTAAATTAGATTGATTCTCCTTTTTGGGAAACATGACTTATCCCACAAAATGTTTGAATGTGGGTAATACAAATCATAATAATCCAGGGTGCTTGGAAGATCAGGATTGTGAGATTGTCCTTTAGTTTTGTTTGTTTGTTTTTCAGGGGTGGAATGGGGATTGGGGATGGAGCTACATCCCCAGCCCTTTTTATTTGGGACAGGATCTGGCTGAGTTGCTTAGAGCCTGGCTAAATTGCTGAGGCTGGCCTTGAACTTGCAATCCTTCTGCTTCAGCCTTCTGATTTGCTGGGATTACAGGCATGCGCCACTGCACCCATCCTGTCTTTCAGTTTGAAGTGGGCAGGTTTTCACCAGCTGACTTTATAAGAAGGATTGATGAGTTCTAAAATCTTCCTCACAGCCTGTTTGACTGAAATTCTTCTACTTACTGAGTTTAAGGCCTTTGCCAGCACATGGCAGAAAGAAGTAGAATCTTTTTTTTTTTTTTTTTAGTCAGTGACAGGACACGTTATTGTGGGATTTATGTTCATTTTCCTGCGAAGACAAAGAAAATGTGATTCAATGACAGCATCAGATTCAAAATGAAATGAGAAAAAAAATGCAAAGGAAGACAAAAAGAAGCTTTAGAATAATGTTAGATGTTAACAATTTCCAATGGCATGTAAGAAGAAATGAATGAAAACACTTAGGAGGTGGGAGAAAGTCTTTGGTTGATCTCTTTTTTTTTTTTTCCTCTTGAATTAAAGATATTCTCTAGGGAACAGAGGACTTTTTTCCTTTCTAGAAACCATCCAGGAACCTTAACACCTTCAGAAAGGCTTCCCTCAGTTCATTTCCCATTTCCAGGAGAAATGAATGGTGTGATGGGAAATATCAGTATGATTGCATCAGCACTGACTCTCCCCTGAGGAATCAGAGAGCCAGAGGTTATTACCAGAGACCCCCACGACGCACAGTGAGGTGGAGTGTTGAGATGATTGCTGCCTTCATAGCCCTCGTGTGCACCGTTTGCTGGGGTCTCTGGACCCTGTGGCATGAAGTGTCATTTGCTTGGTGTGTCTAAATAGGGAGAAGAGTATCAGGAAAAATGAAGTCAGGCAAAGAATACATGGAATTATAGCACACAGGTCCACAGAACTCTGTAAGGATTCTGTGTTTGGGATCAAGGTCTTTGATAGCTTCAGGACTGTGGCATGCTTGGTGATTAGGAAGTTTCTGTAAAAAGACACAGAATGCCTGACTGCTAGGAAGTTTCTGTGCAAAGACACAGGATGCCTGGCTGCTGTAGCAATGTCCTTCATGAGGAGGCTGTCTGTTAGAGTCTTATCAGCCTGGACCTTGATCTCAGGCACACAACTCCTTGGAATATAGGGACTCAGTAGTTAGAAAACCACAATGTTTCACTGACCCTAAAGCTGTTCACATAACAGTAACTTTATACAATGGACTATCTTGAGAGCTGCACAAAGCTCCTAACACTGCATATTGCAACTTATTCTGTAACTGAGGAATAAGCTGCATAATGTTGCTAAGTCCGTAACCTGCCTAACAATACAATGAACAATATGTACTAATGATGCCAATGACCTAAAGTCACTTTTGATATAAATAAAGTTTGGCAGCTTGGCCTCTCTGCCATTCTGCCATCTTTCCTGCCTCTGCATCTTGCCTCTCTGTCTCATTTTTATTTTCCTTACAGAAATCTGTTTCAAAGCATTTAGGATTTTACTCACTTTGAATTCACAAATTATGTTTTTTTCAAGATTGACCTTGATGAAGTGACACCCTATTTCTCATGATGATGAGAAAGAATGCCTGAATCCCAAGGATGACACAGTTGATTTTAGCTTGATCCAGAGGAAAAATGGGTGAGATGTATAGGCCACCTTGAGTCAATAGAAGCTGCTGGGACCAAAAGTAAACGAGGCACTTTTAATTATCCAGGAGGCTCGCTAGCTTATCTCTGACCTCCGTGTCTGGAGACAGCAGCATAACAAAACCATTCAGAGGCATTAAACATAAGAAGCATATTCTAGAGAAGGCCAAGCTGATTGAGAAGATGTCATCCCAGGAGATAGCTCTCTTGAGCCAACCAATGCAGTTCAGTAGGATGGTGAATCCATTTCCTCAAATCCCTTTAGACAGTTCACCAGCAATCAGTCATAAATATTGTCTCTATTGCACTTGATATGTCAGCAGAGAGTTCTGATTTAGAATTCACTGATGATAAATTGTATATGGCTGCTCATGTCATGCTGCAGTTGGCTTTATTTGTCCCTGTTGTCAGCTGTGTTTCAGGTCAAGTAGATAGCCAGCTCTGCTGTGGGCTAGGACTGCCTGAAGAGTTTCCTGTCTGAGGCCAGTAACTTCCTATTTAAATAGTGGTGATTGCAAGGCTCTAAGATGCAAATGAGAATGGATCTGATTTCTTGGATTTGCACAGTCTTTCTCATTTTAAGCTCTTTACATCTTGTTTCTTGTTTTTAAATTATAGTTCTTTGTTTTTTTTCTAATTGACAGAAAGAATTGTATATATTTATTATATATATTTATTGCAACATGAAGTTTTGAATTCTATATACATTTTGGAAGGATGAACTCGTTTATCATGAATTACTTCACATAGTTATTGCTTTTGTGGTGAGAATACTTAGCATCCACTCTTAACATTTTCAAGGTTATGATATATTATCATTAGCTGAACTTATGTTGTCTGATAGGTGTCTTGAATTATTCGTATTATCGAACTGTAATTTTGTATTAATTGACCAAGTACTCCCTGATCAACTTCCTCTACTTCGTAACCACTCTTCTGTTCTTTACTTTATGAGATAAATCTTCTTATATTTCACATTAAGTAAGATCATGCAATATTTGTCTTTCTGTGCCTAACTTAATGAACTTAACATCAACATTCTCCTGTATTCCCTTATCTTTATGAATTAATACTATTCACTTTGTATATATACACCACATCTTGGGTATAGCACATAATGATGCTATAAACATGGGTGTGCAGGTCTATTTTCAACATAGTGATTCCATTTCTTTTGGATATATCCCAGCTGTATGGAAAGTTGAGCAATATTTATTTTTCCTATCCATGAACACAGGATAGCTTTCCACTTATTTGTGTCTTCTTTAGTTTCCTCCATTAATGTTTTACTGTTTTCAGTGTAAGGATCTTTCACCTCCCTGTATTTATCCTTACATATTTTGTGTTGTACTATAAATGACATTTTTTGATATTGCTGAATTATGTGATAATTCTATTTTTTATTTTTTTGGTATATTTACTGGCCACTTCTATGTCTTCTTCTGAAAACTGTTTACTCAGGTCTTTTGCCCATTTTTTTTAGTTTGATTATTTGTTTTCATGCTACTGAGTTTCTTATGTGTAGGGTATTAATTCCTTATCAGATGGATAGTTTGCATGTACTTTCTCCCAATATGTAGTTTGTCTCTTCATCTTGTTCATTGTTTCCTTTGCTGAACAGATGTTTTTAATTTGATGAAATTCCTTTCATCTACTTTTGCTTTCATTGCCTATATTGTCAAGGTCATATAAAAAATATCATTGTCTGGACCAATGTTGTGGGGCTTCCCCTCTGTTTTTTTCTAGTGATTTCATAGTTTTAGTCTTACATTAAAGCTTAATTCATTGTGAGTTCATTTTTGTATATGGTATGAGATAGAACCTAATTTCATTCTTCTGCATTAGGATATCCAGTTTTCCCAGCACCACTAATTGGTGAGACTGTCACTTCCCTTTTGTGTGTTCTTGGTTCCCTTCCACTTATTTGCGTCTTACTCTGTTTCTTCCATGTTTTATAGTTTTCATGTAAAGATATTTCACTTCCCTGGGTTTTTTCTTACATATTTTATGTAGTATTATAAATGGGATTTTTATATCTTTTTTTAACAGCTTATTCTTTGTGTATAGAAATCTTATTGATTTTTGTGTTAATTTTGTATCCTACAACTTCATTGAATT